CTCTTCTAAGGTTGGGTAAATTGGGATAGTTGGTTTCCAACACCTAGAAGGGCTTGGGTAAAAAAAATTAGTTTACAAAGAGGTTTCGAATATTAAGAAGGAGGCTGTCTGGCTATATGTAAGCGGGCAGCGCTCCTTAAAAAAGGTATGTATTTAGATTTTTTTGGGAATGGTCTGAGGAGACATTGTTTATGGTCTGAGGAGACCCTTTGATTTATTAACAAAATTTGTGGTGTTTTTGGAGTTCTTTTTATTGTCATGTGACAGATTATGGTAGATTCAGGGTCCTCGACTGTTGATTCTCTTGGCTCACGTTTTGTGGGTGGTGGTGCCATTTTTCCCACCAACTCATCAGAAAATCCAGGACTTCAAATCACCACAGTGAAGTTGGATGGTTCCAACTATTTGATTTGGGCACAGTCTGCCAAGATGTTCATTGGTGGCAAAGGCAAGATTGGCTGTATTACTGGTTTGAGAAAGAGCCAGCTGAGTCAGAGAAGGCATATCCACAGTGGTTTGTAGGTAACGCTATGGTTATGTCTTGGCTAGTCAATTCGATGCAACCAAACATAGCTGTTGGCTATATGTTTATGAAGACTGCTAAGCAGATTTGGGATTCAGTTCAACGCACTTATTCTCAGAGGCAGAATAATGCACGAATTTCCAGCTGGGGCAAGATATCACTAGGATTTCTCAGGGTGACTTGACAGTTTCAGGTTACATCACCAAGCTTCGTGCTATTTGGGAAGAGATGCCATATTATGATTCCTTCCACTCTTGGAAGGATCCAGATGATGCAGTTTTATATGCAGGAATTGTGGAGAAAAATCGAGTGTTTCAGTTTCTTACCGGGTTGAAAGACGAGTTTGAGTATGCTCGTGCTCATTTATTGGGCTTATCTTCATTCCCTACTCTTGAGGATGGATATTCCTATGTGTTGTCAGATGAGAGCCGTCGGACTCATCCATTAGGTGTTGCTTCTGTTGATCGTTCTGCTATGGTAGTTCGGATTCCCAACCTTTCAGGAACTTCACCATCCCAGTCAGTTCAGAGCACTACCACCGGTCCTCCTCTAGGACGACAACGTGGACGGTGTGACCATTGCGAAAAAATTGGTCACATTAAATCTCGTTATTATGCTCTACATAGACGTCCACAGCAACATAAACAACAGCCTTGATCCTCTACACATTCTGTTACACAACCAGTCTCATTGTCAACTCCTGACAACCCTGCCTCTATATCTTCTGCCACAGTTACCTTGACTCAAGCTGATTTGGACAAGTTCAAGCAATTCTTCAACCAAATAGAGGCATCATCTCAGCCAACCTCCACTTATGCCCACTCAGGTACTATTACGTCTGCACATAGCGTATCTACATCTTCAACACCATGGATCATTGATTCTGGTGCTTCAGACAATATGACTGGTATGTCCTCACTCTTCCAATCTTATAGTATCTGCTCTGGCCAATACAAGGTCCGCCTTGCGGATGGCTCTCCATCTTCCATTGTTGGGAAGGGTCACATATCAGTTACTCCTTCATTAACTTTGTCAAATACACTTCATGTTCCAAAGTTGACTACAAATCTTATTTTTGTTAGTAGCGTTACCAAACAATTAAATTGTAGTGTAACGTTCTTTCCCCCTCATTGTATTTTTCAGGATCTGGTGTCGAAACGAACGATTGGTAGTGGGCGTGACGGTTTATACCTGTTGGATGCTCCTTTGTCACCGCAAGCACATTCAGCTTCATTTTCTAATATTGTTTCATCTAATAAAGCCCAGCTTATGCGTTGGCAAATGTGTTTAGGACATATTTCTTTTGGTTATTTGAAACATTTATTTCCTTCCTTATTTTGTAACGTGGCAGTGTCAAATTTATCCTGTGAAACATGTCATATAACTAAACATGTTCGTTCCAATTATCCTGCTAGTAGTAATAAATCTGCTTTAACACTTTTTGATCTTGTTCATTCAGATGTGTAAGGTCCTTGCCCAGTTACTTATAGTCTTGGATTTCGATATTTCGTGTTGTTCATTGATGATCATAGTTGTGTTACTTGGGTTTATCTTATGAAAACCAAAAATGAGGTATACACCATTTTTAAAAATTTTATGACAATGGTTCAGACTCAATTTGGTCGTACCATTAAAAAATTCCGATCTGACCAGGGTACAGAGTACACTTATGGGGAGGTACAACGGTTATGTACAGAATTTGGGATTGCGCATCAGCTGGCTAATGTTAAAACTCCTCAACAGAATGGTCGTTCTGAGAGAAAGAATCGCCACATCCTTGACTTAGCCAGAGCAATCTGCATTGGCATGAATGTTCCCCAGTCATTTTGGAGAGATGCAGTTCTTACCGCTGTTTACTTCATTAATAAGACTCCTTCTAGGATTCTTAACTTTATAGCCCCACTCTCAATCTTACATCCCAATTCATCTCTATTTTTGATTCCTCCACGAGTCTTCGGGTGTGTGTGCTTTATTCAGCAGTTGGGGCAAACTCGTATAAAGCTTGACCCCAAGGCTTTGAAGTGTGTGTTTTTGGGTTATTCTCACTCTCAAAAAGGTTATAAGTGTTACCATCCTCCCGGTCGTCGGCGGTTTATATCCATGGATGTTTCTTTCTTTGAGCATACACCATACTATAATGGTTCAGTTGGTTCTCAGAGTGAATGGTTCCCATTGATGATCACCTTCTTCCGTCTTCAACTCCTCTACCATTACCTGTTTCTTCTTCTATAATTCCTCCTTGTGATACCCCTCCAGCAATGGGAATTGTTCCTTTTTCACAGGTTTATAATCCGAGACAACAGGTACAAGCTTCTACTCCCACGATCGATTGCCCTGTTCCTTCGGCACCAGCTTCGCCTTCTCAAGCTATTGTTTCGCTTGATGATCGCCCCATTGCTCTTCGAAAGGATTAACGTTCTTGTACTTACGCTATTTCTAATTTTGTTTCTGATTATGCTCTCTCACCCTCCTATCGAAGTTTTCTTGTTTTTGTTGCCTCGGTTCCTGTTCCTTCCAGTGTTGCAGATGCTCTAGCACAACCTCAATGGCGTGATGCTATGACAGAAGAACTACAAGCACTTGAGAAAAATCAGACTTGGGACATGGTTCCGCTTCCTATTGGACGAAAGGCTGTGGGTTATCGTTGGGTGTTTACAGTCAAGCATAATCCAGATGGGTCAGTTGCTCGTTACAAGGCCCGATTGGTTGCCAAGGGTTATGGTCAGACTTATGGCATAGATTATCAAGAGACTTTTGCCCCTGTTGCCAAGATGAATACCATCCGTGTATTATTTTCCGTTGCTGCTATTCGATCTTGGCCTCTATTTCAGTTAGATGTCAAGAATGCCTTTCTTAATGGTGATTTACAGGAGGAGGTGTACATGGTTCCTCCTCCGTGCTTTCGTTCTCCTGCTCATTCTGGTATGGTATGTCGTCTTCGTCATTCTCTATATGTCCTCAGGCAGTCTCCTCGAGCTTGGTCTGATCGTTTTGGCACTGCTATGCTCAAGTTTGGTTTCCATCAAAGTGCAGCTGATCATACCATGTTTTTACGTCCTTCAGGCGGTAAGACAGTTGCTCTCATTGTGTATGTCGATGATATTATTCTTACCGGCGATGATACTACCGGAATTAATGAGGTTAAGAGCTATCTTGGCCGTCAGTTCGAGATTAAGGATCTTGGTCCCCTACGATACTTCTTGGGCATTGAGGTGGCTTGCTCCAAGACTGGCATTTTCATCTCTCAACGCAAGTATGTTCTTGACTTGCTTTCTGCTTCTGGTCAGCTTGGCGCTCGTCCTGCTGATACTCCGATTGAGCAGAATCATCGGTTGGCTGATTCTGAGGGGGAGTTGTTGTCAGATATTGGTCAGTATCAACGACTTGTGGGGAAGCTCATCTATTTATCCATGACTCGACCTGACATTGCTTATGCTGTGAGTGTCGTGAGTCAATTCATGCACTCTCCTCGTGCCCCACACCTTGATGCAGCTATTCGGATTCTTCGCTACTTAAAAGGGTGTCCAGGCCGTGGTATTTTGTTTGCTAATCATGGTCACTTACGTGTTGAGGCTTGGACAGATGCTGATTATGCAGGATCAATTTTAGATAGGAGGTCTACTTCAGGTTATTGTACCACTATTGGTGATAACTTGGTTACTTGGCGCAGTAAAAAGTAGGATGTTGTCTCTCGATCTAGTGCAGAGGCAGAGTATAGGGCTATGGCTCTTGGGGTAGGTGAGTTGCTTTGGCTGAAAACCTTGATGACAGACTTGTGCCTTCCAGTGTCGCTTTCATTCTCACTCTACTGTGACAACAAGTCTGCCATTAGCATAGCAGCAAATCCCGTTCAGCATGACAGGACTAAGCATATAGAGGTGGACCGTCACTTCATTCCAGAGAAGATCATCTCTGGTCAAATTTGCACTCTATTTGTCACAAGCTCTCAGCAGCTTGCAGACATTCTTATAAAGGGCGTCAGCAAGATTGTGTTTGAGAATGCATTGTCCAAGTTGGGCATTTCAGATATCCATGCACCAACTTGAGGGGGAGTGTTAACATTTATGATACCACGATTTATGGTATAACTTACCATAATAGCCGAGATATGATAGGCCTAAATCATAGGATGTGATTTACCATATTATCTGTGAGATATGATAACCACTAATCATGTATTTGACTTTATTTACGCATATGTCTAGGCATAGAATATGCAATGATTTGATTTTGTTTCCTTTCTTGTAATATGAGCATGTGCTCATTTTATCTATAAATATTAGAGCTGTGAATGGGTAATTCATCTCATTCAAGTCTTTACACAATTCTCTTTTTTCTCTTCTTTTTATATTTCTACTATATCCTTGCTAGACTACCCATCAAGTGCCTAGTGCAATACACCACTGTCTGCAAATCTTGGTATTTTCTCATCACGAGCCCTATGTTCATCACTACCCACCTTAATCGATCAGCTGCGATGAACAAGGATAACAAGCTTTTTTTAGTTCGAGGATGCTCTATTGATCAACATGAAGAGCATTACTCACTACATTATGATAATCAAATGTTTGATAAGTATGCAAAGGTGCGATTTCCACTGAAGAGCTCTGCAAATAATTATTTTAGGATAATCAGTAGCTGTAACGGGGTTATATGCCTCTCAGACGACCATTTTGTTATTACCAATGACCTGTATCTATGGAACCGGTCGATTCAAAAGTTGATGGCCCTTCCACCGGTTCGTGTCACATTTCAGTTACACGGTCCATTTATGCATAACATTGGGTTCGGCTTTGATCCAGTGACGGATGACTACAAGGTCATAAGGATTGTGTATCTAAATTATGTGACAATTCCACCTGAGGTCGACATCTTCACTCTGAGCACCGGCACTTGGCGGAACATTAGTCATTTAGGTCTTCCGTATATAATTCAGGATAGAGGTCCCCAAATTAATCTGAATGGGGCTGCACATTGGATTGCATCCGATAGGAGGGGGTACCTTCATTGCTTCTTGATCGTGTCATTCCACGTGGGTGATGAGGTATTTCATGAGATTATATTTCCACTAAGTCTTGATGTTGCTAACTTTCTAGAATCACTTTCTCTAATCGAGATGCAGTTTGATGGTGATTGGAGTAATGTTGGAAAACATTATTGTGTATGGGTGATGGAAGAGTATGGTGTAGCGACATCTTGAACCAAACAATTCAATATTGATATGGTTAAAATTTTCCAAATTGCAGCACTAACAAGTAACGGATATTTGGTATTTTGTGACCCCCAAGCCAAACAACTTCTAAGGGATCTCGAATTTTCATGCTTACACGGAGAGCCTAGTTTTACTTGGGGTGAAACCAATTGTTTGCGTGGAGAAGGGAGTGAAGCTAACAAGATAACCAAGAAAGGGAAGAGCACCAGGTAAGATGCACGCTCTCTCTCTAATTTATACATCATCTATTTATCTATTGCAGACTCCTGTTATTACTACATCTGAATATCAAACCTCAACCTAGCATTTGAATAACGTCGTGTCATCATTACTCTAGTAGTTAGTAGCATAAACTTAAAAACTGTATGGTCAATTATTGTTTCATTTTCCGTCTCTCTAGTGGAGCAAGTATTATTGTACTAAATCTTGATTTGTTTCCATGGTCGATGTGCAGAATTTTTCCTTTCAGGTTTGCTAAGTGGCGGGTGTGGAAAGCCAAAATGAGGATTAAGAGACGAAAGGTGATCTATAGAAAGAGTAGAAATGGCATGTGAACTCTTTCTCTGCTTCCAGTTAGTTTGACTTTGCTTAGGTTACTTAAACTGTATAATTGTGTAGTTAAAAGCTTCCTTTGGGAAGAGTTATCGACTCATGATGCCTGGAGCATTTAGGCTTTGATATGCGTTGTTGATGTTATGCAGATAATGCTACTTATCTTTCGATGCCAATTTATCTATCTAAAATCTGTTCCGAGGCATTAGCCACATTATATATATATATATATATATATATATATGTACAAATGGTCATGGTTTGCATTACAGTATGAGTGTGATTAAGTTAGTATTGCTACTCTGGTGCTGTTTGGTACTCGAAGTTGGTTTTTGTTTGTGCGCTTGATAATGCAATTTAGATGTTACATAAAATGAGGTAAAAGAATTTTATGCGGGGACATTTTGTTTAGCACTGGACACTGATAACTTGGAATTTAATGAAGTTTTACTTCACGTTTAGCAATTATAGTTCAGCTCTAAAATTCTCTCTCTTGATAGGCTTTGTGTGAGAAAACTTAGGTTTTATTTTGCAGCTGTATAGGGGGTGCACACGGTTCGGTTTGGACCGGTTTAAGAATTTTTTAGAATCAAACCAATTATAGCGGTTTCATAAAATTTCGAATCAAACCAAACCATTTAACCAAAGAAACCAAACCAAACCAAATTGTGAAAATATTAATATATTCAGAACTTTTAATTCATTCTTCTCCATCCCTTCCGAAACTGAAGTGAATAAATTCAGAATTCTTAATAACCTAATACATTTAGAATTACTAACAAACAATCATCTAAAAAAAATTGATAAGACAAGAGAATTAATAGTGGACCATATGATTGATAGTTGTTAGTAGGATTATATTATATTATATATACTGTAAAATTTAACATATAAATAAAAGAAAATATGTACAAAAAAGGAGGAATCGCTCCAAACAACTAATCTAGAAGTAGACAAGCCCACTTCCAGATCAAGCAAACCGAAACAAAAAAATAAAATAAAAAATAAAATAAAATAAAATTGCAACAATCAAGCTAATTGAATAATTCATGCAGCTCTGAAAGAGAGAAGCTATGAAGAAGAAGGATCTCCGAAATAACTTGCTTGCTAATTGATCCGCATCTTACTGGATACCTTGATGCAAAGATCTATTCCGAGCCTATCAAATTATCCAAATGGTGACTAAAAATAACAAACCTAAGAATCTTAAATTTAGTGCTCTTTGTAGAAGCATTAAGCAAGAACCAATCCACAATCTGATCCATAGAGATGAAGTCTTGCAACGGATATTTAAACAATTCCAACAGATCCTTCCAAACCTTATTAGCCAATGGACAAGAGCAGAACAAGTGAGCATTAAAATCTGCATTAGCAAAACAATTGTGACACACTGAAAGCACCTGTAAACCCCTCTACTGCAAATTCACAGAGGAAAGATTTTTATTCAGCATAATAATACGAACAACCACAGCAGTCCGAGGTCTACAACCCTTCCAACAAAGCTTAAATCATTTCAGCTTCTGATCCCGCAATCTGCACACTTCCCACGCTGCTTTCAAAGAAAAAATTCCATGCTGCCAAAGAATAGTGTCTTGACCAGCATATATCTGCAATCTAGAAATAAAATCTCTAGCCAAGGAAGGAAAAAACTTTGGGAAACACCATTGATTCCCATGAACAATGGACTCAACCTTAGCCATAGAATCAAAATTTCTAAAAAACACTACCCCAAATCTCTGAGCAATCGAAAGAAAAGCACGCCAAGGATCATGAAGCAAATTGAAAGACTTCCCATTGCCCACTTTAAACACAAGGTGAGGCAGCAACTGATCTCGGACCTCCAAAATCTGTTTCCAAATAACTGAATCAGAACTTCTAGAATTAATTGTCCAAAAATTAGAAGAATTCAAGTATCTAGCCTGCAGCCACTTAATCCAGAGATTATCTTTCTTTTGAACAAAGTCCTAACAGATCGAAAGCTTAGAAGCAACATCAATGTCATTGATCCGACGTAGATTAAAGCCTCCTTTATCATGAGGGAGCGTAACCTGACTCCATTTAATCTGAGACATCTTAGTGCTCTCTGTTTTACCACTCCATAAAAATTTCTTGAACTTCTTTTCGAGCGTGATCCTACAGCCCCATGGAATTTTAAAGCCAAACAACCAATGATAAAGAAAAGAGTAAAGGACTGATCTCAAAAGCTCAATCCTACCAGCCATAGAAAGATTAAGAGTGTTCCAGTGATTCAACCAATCATCAACTTTGTCAATTAGAGGCTTATAATCAGAACTTCTCAAAGATCTATTAGCCAAAGGGATACCCAGATATTTGAAAGGAAAATTTTCTTCTCCGAACTTCAAAACTTGCAGAATTCGATTCTTACACCAAATCGCTTTAGAAAAAATTACTGAGCTCTTATCATTATTTATAGAGAGACCAGTGGCACCTATAAATTTCTCAAATACATCCACAATTGATCAAGCAGTACCTATTCCAGCCTTAACAACAATAAGCAAATCATCCGCATAAAGAGCATGAGAAATCTTCAAACTAGAATTAACAGCCTCGTTACAGAGCTTAATGGAACCATCATTGATACTAGCTGCCATAAGGGAAGAGAAATGCTCAACAACTAAAGTAAAAAGTAATGGGGAAAGAGGACATCCCTGTCTCAGGCCCCTAGAAGCTGAGAAGAAGCTGGCAGGTACTCCATTATAGAGCACAGAGAAATTAGCATTTGAGACACACTTCATATACCAAGCAATCCATTTGTCACTGAACCCATGAAGCGTCATAATATTTTCAAGAAAACTCTTTTCAACCGAATCAAAAGCTTTTTTCAAGTCTACCTTCAGAGCCATAGATGGATCCCCCCTCTTAGACCAAAACCTTTAATCATAACCGTCACAAGAATAATATTATCATGAATCCGACGCCCTTTAACAAACACAGATTGCTCTAAACCAACCAAAGAGGACAGCACACTTCTAAGCCTATTAGCTAAAATAGGCCTGTAGTTAGCAATATTATCACCATGACCCTCCTTTGGAATCAAAGCAAGGAAAGTAGCTTTAACCCCAAGAGGCATAGAATTATTATGAAAGAAAAACATCACTGCAGCAAGAACATCAATTCCAACAATACTCCAATACCTTTGAAAAAACCTTGCTGGGAAACCATCTGGACCCAGCGATTTATCCGGATTAAAATTCATCACTACGTTTTTGACTTCTTCAACACTGATATCACAGTTCAAAGTGCTACCAGCCTCCTCAGAGAGAGACTTTCTAGGCCTTCTTACCGAATTATCAACAAAGTTTGAAGTAGAAAACAAATTTTCATAGAATTTGGCCAGCCAATCCTTAATCACCTTTGGATCTTCCAAAACCTCCCCATCAGTATTTTCAAACAAGTAATAGCATTATTACATCTACGCTGCTTGACCACATTATGAAAGAATGCTGAACATTTATCCCCCTCCTTAAGCCAAGTGAGACGAGATTTCTAAGCCCAAACCACTTCTTCAAGATCACAAGAATGTTGAAGATCAAGGCTTAAAGCTCTCTCCTTATCAATCAAGTGTTGATTCAGATGATCATTCAGAATCTGAAGCTGCACCACCTCAAGATCATGTCTAGCTACCTTAACTTGCATAGAGGTTGTGCCTTTCTTGAGATTCCAAACCTTAATAGCAGTTTTAACCTCTCTAAGCTTCCTTTGCAGCTGATGAAAAAGGATTTCCAAAGACAAGGACAACTCCAAGGTTTCACAAATTCAGAACTAACTGAGCCAATCCATTAGCAAAGCAAAGCAAACTGTTCGGTCCGGTTTGATCCTGTTTGGATTTTTGGTTTGACTGGATTTTTGTGCACCCCTAGTCTTGTAATTGTGAGTTTATATTTTGATTCTGATTCTACCAAAGCAAAATTACCTTTAATTTGAAAAAAAAAAAAAAAAAAAACTCAGTTCTACGGATCTCGAAACTTTTATACGCATATGCTTTTGATCGTATTTAATGATTATTTTACTCTCTCGCGTATCCATCGCAAAAATGAATAGATGAATGTTCGTTAATCGTTTATTACAATGAAGCATTTATCTATCTTTGAGCAGTATATTAAACATGAGTTGTTTTTGTATAATAGAGCTAAATATTAATTTTTATATAGTAGTAAATATTAGCAAGAAACGAAAGAGAAGTCCTTTTCTTTAAATTTATTAATTTATTTATATATATATATATATATATATATATATATTTAAATGTTATCGGCGTGATTTACTATTATAAAAGATTGACGGTGAGCACAAGATGAGAAAACGCTACTTAAAATATTTATATATGTAAATTAGTATAAATAAACTAATCACCAAATCAAACAATATGCCCACCGCTGAGCCATCGTCCGTCACTTTTCTCTTTTATCTGACTTCTTATACACATCCGGCCGGCTGACACTTCAATCATCAACAATTTTTCTGCATCTTCATATTTTCCGGTGAGTTATATCTCTCCCTCTCTCTCTATGTTCGTCACTTCATCTCTTATACATGATTTAAACTGATTTATTTCATTTCTTTGTTTGAGAACTTTTGGGTGAAACTCCATCCTGTTCGAAATGCATGTGTAAATTGATTAACCAGTTTTTGGATTTCATTTATCGGACTCTATTTTTGTTTTGTTCATAATAATCAAAAAGGGTTTTGTAAATTTTATATATGATAACTAGCAGAGTGTTCAAGAACTCAGAAAAAAATAGAATTGTTTTCTGCAATGGTAAAATAAAAGACAGTTATATGAAAAACAGCCTTGTTTTAATCTGAGTTTTATTAGGTTTTTGTAGAGTTTTCAGAAAACAAAAAATTGTTATCAGAAAACTGACTCAAGTATGCCCTAATATAGTCCATTCTTTTATTTGTGCTATTCATCTCTACTTCTATTATGTGCATTCATTTTCGCTTATTGATACATTCTTGTTTTGTTTGGTTGTCTTGTCCGGATGCATTAGTTGCATCTATAGTTTTGTCAGTTTTGTGGAATTTGTGCTGTTTATTCACACATTCCCAGCTCTATATTGAGCTTAAAAGGCCAACCCATCAAACCAAACTGATCCAAACCGTTCTTGTGCTGTTCGGATTGGTCCCGTCAGTTCCGAATGGATGAAAACCTTGGGACCAGATTGGCTATAATTTTCCCGAAGAGCCAATCCAATTTGAACTGTGTGCATGCTGTAATTATATATACACGAATAACCGAATATGGAGTTTTCTATTTCTAAATCTAAAGTAGAGGTCATTCACTGAAAGCTGAAAATCTAAGGTTTTCTAAAACATTGGGATAGTAGTAGACTGATGATTCCTTGTTTGCTATGGAAAAAATAGCGGTTTGTTTATTTATTAATCTCTTTTCTTTGAACAGTCCGTAAGAAGAAAATGTCAGAGTTTCTACCTCGAGATGTTTTGATTGATATCCTCGCTAGACTACCCATCAAGTGCCTCGTGCAATGCACCACTGTCTGCAAATTCCTTATTTGATTGATAGTAGTAGACTGATGATTCCTTATTTGCTATGGAAAAAATAGTGGTTTGTTTATTTATTAATCTCTTTTCTTTGAACAGTCCGTAAGAAGAAAATGTCAGAGTTTCTACCTCGAGATGTTTTGATTGATATCCTCGCTAGACTACCCATCAAGTGCCTCGTGCAATGCACCACTGTCTGCAAATCATGGGGGTCTCTCATCAAAAACCCTAGCTTCATCTCTGCACACCTCAATCGATCAGCTGTGATGAACAATGATAACAAGCTTTTACTAGTTCGAACTATCTCTAGGGATCAGAATGAAGAGCATTACTCACTACATCTCGATAATCAAATGTTCGATGAATATGCAAAGTTTCGATTTCCATTGAAGAGTTGTGCAAACTATTATTTTAGGATAATCGGTAGCTGTAATGGGGTTATATGCCTCTCGGACGATCTATTTACTATTACCAATGAGCTATATCTATGGAACCCGTCGATTCAAAAGTTGATGGCCCTTCCAACGGTTCGTGTCACATTTAAGTCACACGGTCTATTTATGCAAAACATTGGGTTTGGCTTTGATCCCTCGACGAATGACTACAAGGTCATAAGGATTGTGTATCTAAATTATGTGGAAATTCCACCCGAGGTCGATATTTTCACTCTGAGCACGGGCACCTGGCGGAACATTAGTCATTTGGGGCTTTCATATATAATCGATGGTAGAGCTCCCCAAGCTTTTTTAAACGAGGCTGCACATTGGATTGCATCTGATAGGAGAGGAGACCTTCATCGCCGCTTGATCGTGTCATTCCACATGGGTGATGAGATATTTCGCGAGATTATGCTGCCTGATTGGATTAATGCCGTTTTGTCTTATCCGCCGCGTCTTCGCGTTGCTAAGTTTCAAGAATCACTTTCTCTAATCGTCGAGTTGAACGAACGTTTGGATGCTAATAACTGTTATGGTGTGTGGGTGATGAAAGAGTATGGTGTAATGTCGTCTTGGACTCAACTATACACTATTCATAAGGGCTTAGTTTTCCATTCTTTAGTTGGCTTTAGAAAGAAGGGTGAAGTTCTATTGGCATTAAGAAATGGATATTTGGTGTCCCTTGATACTGTATACCATGATGCTGAAACCAAACTACTTACGAAACTCGAAATTTGTGGCTCTATAGATTCATGGTATAAGGACTCGTTTTATGCAGATGCTTACATGGAGAGCCTAATTTTACTTGGGGTGAAACCACCCGTTTTTCATGGAAAAAAACAGAAACTGATGAGAAAACCAAGAAAGGGAGACGAAAAGCAAGGAAGGGAATAGCACCAGACAAGATGCATGATCTCACTAATTTTGAAATCATATATATATCTATTGCTACATCTGAATGTTAAAAGCTCAACCTAGCATTTTAATAAACTCTGTCATCATTGCTCTAGTAGCATAACTTTTTGGTAAATTACTGTTTAATTTTCAGTATCTCTAGTGAAGCAACTATATTATTTTTTCTTTTAACCAAAAAAAAAAAAAAAAAAAAAACACTATATTATTTTTTTTCTTTTAAATTGTGTATTGATGTATTTATAAACTTCCTTGGGGAAGATTTATTTACCTTGGAGCATTTTGGGGTCACGTTGCTGGAAATCGTAACTGTCTTTTTAATTCATAATTCTCGTCAAGAAAGCTCTGTCTTGGCAGGAGTCGTGAGCTTTCCCTTTATAGATATCGGTGGGCAGAAACTTTATGCTTACCACTCGTGTGGTGCTCTAAGCCCTAATCTGATTTTGACAATGTTTCCGTGGTTGGTGGCCAAGAACTTGTTGTAAAGAGCATAATTTGCATAATTTTCTATTATTAATCTTGCTGTCACCAAAGACCTTTATTTTTTTATTAATCTTGCCCGTCATCAATGGCTTCAAATCAATTTTTATTTTTTTTATTTTTTATTTTTTTTTATTTTTTCTGTAAATAAGATCAAACACATACGGCAATTATGACTTTGGATAATCTTTTATTTTTTAAAGGAAAATGATATTTCAACCAAAGTATTTGACCGATTACTTAAATTACATGGCCTGTCCAGGTAGGCCACTTCCATCTCTTCTCTCTCCTTTTTTTCTTTCTCTCATTGTATTTCTCTCTCTAATATCTCTTTGAAAATTTTTTATAGACTGTGAAAAACAATATAATCAAACAATATTGTTCCAAAAAAAAAAAATACAATACATATAAATATATTTGAATATGATATATGATATGAAGTTGCAACCATATACTTTAAAATCCAAAAGTTCTTTCTCTTTTTTTTTTTTTGATAATTAAAAGTTCTTTCTCTCTTCAAGTTAAGATGGTAAGAAATATTGTTTGAAGTGATGAAACGAAGAGGAAGAGATTTGATAAGTATTGACAGCCTGGGAAAGATAAATCTGCAGACGCGTATATATATTGTTTCTCTTCTTATTTTCTTTCCTTTTTTTAATTGTTAAAGTTGCTCATGTGTATTCTGTCAAGCTAATCTGCCAAAATTATCGGCCCATCTATCACTACCCTTTTTTAAAAGAGCAAAGGTGAGTGTGTCTGCACGCGAGTGAGAGAATATGTAACGGGTGGGCGCTTACTCATTTACCCAAAAATTCAAGTTGTTGGTAGTGCTGCATACCCACCAATTTATACTTATATCACTTTCCATCCGGATCTGATGTGGAGCAAGTCTCTCTTTGTAACATAATCAGATTAGGCATCAATGATAGAGTAGCATGGGAAAGAGAAAATCAGATTAATGCTTCGTTTGGTTAGAGGGATGAAAAAATGGATGAAAGAGATAGGGGGAAGGGATGGATTTTGTTTGGTTGAATTTAACGGATAGTAAAAATGATTAATGGAGTGATACTTTTTTTTATTTAGTTGGAAGGAAGAGAAGGAGAGTTTTTATATTCTTTTTATCAATACACCCTCATTATATAAAATTATAAAAGATAGATATTTATTTCAAAATTATTTAAAAAGTTAAAATTTAAAATTAAAAATTTATAGATAGTTATGCCACTATGCCTTCTTTTTCTCCTCTCTTCCCCCCCAAAAGTGGGCTGCTCCCTCTCTTCTATTCCCTCCAACCAAACATGAAATGTTTATCCATCCCCCTCAATCCTTAACTCCAATTAAACATAGCATAAGATTTGTTTTGAATCCTATTGGGTTGGAATTGTTATTGGCCCTCAAAAAATTATCCTTCCACGTTATCCTTATATTTTTTATTTATAAATAAAATGAAAAAATAAGCCTGAACTATTCCGATATGTTTTCATTTTTTTTTCTCACCTCTATGATTCCGTCTCATTCTACCATAAACTCCAAACGACAAATCTCTTTATTCTAAACTCTCTAGCGTGTATGACAATGATATCTTTAAAAATTGTTTTCTTTTTTCAATAGCTTTCAAACGGTTTTTGTTTTGGTATGTATTATAGCTTTAAATAATAATAAACTTTAATAGCTTCTTCACTTAACAGAGATGTTGGGATGCGTCTCAAATTTTTGAATGATGTTGTTTGGATAAGTCCAAACGGTTGCATTTAAGTCTAACTGATCCAATTTGTTCATGTCGTAGCACTTTGTTGAGTCGGACCTGGCAAATGAGTTACACATTTGCTTCCTTAATTAGAATATGTTACTTTCTGTAAGTTGAAGACTTATAAAGCAAGTAGAAAACTTGTGGAGCAAGATTGATAAGACTTGAAGTTGTGTCTCATTAGGCATATATTTTAGATTAAAATTGTAATCGATTTGGTAATTTCTTGTTAAACAAAGTATGACAATCCTATAAGTAAAGGTAGGATTGGGTTGAGAAAGTATAGAAAAAGTATGGGTTGAAAGGTGAGTTTTTTAAGAAGAAAAAAAAAAAAATTTAAATTAAAGGGTGGTTGTTACGAGGAGAGGAGATGAGATGAGAGTGTATGTAATTCTCAAGTAGAGAGATGTACCTGACGGCCTTAAAGGATCACATGATATGATATTGTCTGCTTTGGACTTGAACCTACACAGTTTACTCTTAGGTTTTACATAAAAGGCTTCATACCATTTTGAGATAGAACTAACAAATATAACTACTTCACCTTCACCTTTCTTAGGGGATGTGGGATTGTGCAACCTCTAGCTAGGGAGATTGTAATGTCTCGGATTTTTTTTTTCAGAATTTTCAGTATTTATTTTCGACACCTTGATTTGCGCATCGTGTGGGTCCCGGTATTATTTTCCATTACCATGTATTTATTTAATTGAGTAATGATGTCTTATATATATACATATATATGTGTACATGTGGCTAGTGGGTGGAATAAGATATTTTATAGCATGGTTTGCAGTTGGGTGAGTTTTAGAGGGAATTATTGGTGTTGGAGTATAAGGTAGACTTTGACCCATTTTGAGCCACTCATTTTGGAAGAGGATAGGGTGGACCAACCTTGACAACCAATCTCACTCTCCCCCTTATTTTCGGCCACCACTCTCACTCCTCCATTTTTTTTTCTCTCTATATATCTCCATCTCCTCTCTAAGATTTGATCTAGTTGGGTTGAGATCTAGGCAAAGAGCAAGAAGAGAAGTTGATTCTACTCTTCAAGGGCTACGATTTGAAACCGATCTTGCTTCCAATAGGTGGATTTTGAACGAGTCTTAAGGTCAGTTTGGTGCAATGGAAAAGGGAGGAAAGGAAAGGGAAGGTGATGGAAGGTGATGGAGGGTGATTAAAAAATTGTGTTTGGCATACATGGTGAGAAGGAAAGGGGAGGTGATGGATGGTTTTGGAAGGATAACTCAAGGCATGAATAGTAATTTTCTTAACCTCCCAAAAATGGGAGGAAATGGAAAAAAAGGGAAGGCTAGGGTTGATGAATTAGTTCTGATGCCAAATTTACCCTTACACAAAATCAAGATTACACTTGATTTGAGGATTTAGTTTGCAAAACAAGAATTACAGACCTTGATTAGTTGATTTAGAAGAAAAAAAAAAATTAAAACAAAACCCATACATACAAGTTAGCAGTTGAGAGACAGCGGCTGAAGCTTGCGAACGGCGAACCCGAACTGGAACAGCGGGCGATGGAAACTGAAAGATATGGGTTTTGATTTTTTTGAACAATCTGAAATGTTATGCCAATATGGGTTTTAAACTTTTGATTCTTGCAGACAGATAGATAAACTAAAATATATGGGTTTTGAACTTCTGATTCTTGTAGTTTGCAGTTGCATAGAGAAAGAGATACGGCAGGGGGGGAGTTCAGAGTTAAGAACGAGAATAGCGATGGAGGCGGAGGCTAAAATAATTTGCCCTAAAACCCATCATCCATGGGCCTATAGATTTGCCCTAATGATATACAAAGTAACAAAGAAATTATAAATAAATAAATAAATAATGTTCCATTGTTCAACTCTTATCAAATATGTGATATTCACATTACATGTTTTATATATAAGATATAATTTGGATATTTGTGAGTCCAATTGTAACGACCCAAATCTACTGGGTCCGAATCATTAAACGGATCTTTATCCGACCCAAAATCATCCAAGGGTAATATAGTCCTTTCATGTTAAATTTGCAAATTCAAGTCCAAAAAGGGGCAAGATGGTATTTTGTCTCAATTCAAATGGTTTGAAACTCAAAAGGGCACAATAATCATTTACTTGGGTCTTATAAAAATAATAATAAAAAAAAATTAGTAATAATAATAATAAAGTCCAGGGCAATATACCCTTTTCTAGGGTTAAAATTAAATTATTGCATTATACTGATGTTTACTACACAGAACCGGTCGATGTATAGGGATCACACATCGACTGTTTGGGACGTGTACAGTAGAAAGCCCACTGCCAAGATACCAGTCGATTTGTGGGAAGTTACACGTCGACTGGTTTAGGACGTATACAGTAAAAAGGCTATTGCCAAGATACTGGTCGACGTGTGGGAAGCTACACGTCGACTGGTTCAGGTCATCCGGTCGACATATGGGAACTTTACGTCGACTGGTTCTGGGTTATCCACACTCAAAATTTTCACTGTCCGAGATACACCAACATTGATAACCAATCACCCACGCCACTACACTCACATACACATTTAAATAATTTTTAACATCTAATACATTAACAACAACAACAATATTCACATAATTTACAACACGTTACATGAAATACACTAAATGATTTAGTGTAAATATGTATAATTACATTTCTCCAAAGGCCATATACAAAACGTATCTAAATAATTTACATGCTGCAAAATGGTACATTTGGGTTAACACTTTACAAAATAAGGCCAAATACAA